GCCTTCGGTACGCCTTGTCAATATTATTCGGCCAATTTGAAATGTAAAGGTTCAACATTTCACGAAGAAGTATTATTGTTTTTCAAATTAGTATTGTTCGTCCGATGAGATTTCCGATCACAGATCGGCTGTGGACTTTTTGTAAATTTTTACATGGACATATTTTATTTATGTACCACCATGGTATATATATTATATTACGTTAGTATTGATTTTTTTTGTCGTCTTGTTTCGCAAATAACTTATACTGAACGAGGGTTCTCCGTTGTACTCACAAATTATCGGCCAAAGTAAATTATCTTATTAAGTGGGATACAAATTCTTAAGTCCAACGTGAGTACTTTTTCAACGTACGAAACAGTTATAACTGTTATAAGGCAAATTACGTTAGTGGTCTACTCGATCCGGCATCACAGTGTCCGGAAAGTATAGATCGAAGAAATATCATCTTCGGTATCCATAATATAGGTATCTACTTGTGAGTTATACTTATTTGCTCAATGTTTATATACACAGATCCAAACTGTATTGTTTTTATTTATTTATGATTGTTTTTTTCATATTGTTTACTAACGAATAATGATAGTAAAATATTAAAAATCATTAGGTACGTAGCTACTGTATACTTATATTTACTGATGTACAATAGTAATTTTACTATAATTTGAAGAGTATAAATTAAGAAGCGTTATAGGTATTATTGGTTAATTTATTTTTATTTTTTAGAACTATTGAATGCTTGATTAAAAATTATTAGAACCGTGTTGTTAGCAAACATTTTATACTTTAATTGACTTCACAAATTATCATAAAGTGTTATTTGCCTAAATAGTAGTACAGACCTAATTATATATGAATTAGGTTTTGTAGTTAATATTTTCTTGTTTAAATTCTGTTCATTTTAACATTTTTTTTTATATTATGTTTTTTTCTGAATATTGGTTATGAATAGCTGCTGAAAATACGTTGTGTAAAATTTCTTGGATACTGAGGTTTTTATATCATAATATGCATTTTTTTCTTTAGATTGTAATTTTATCGTTCAAAATTTAATTAACTATTTTTAATATTCACTATTTTGTATTAAATTATATAACCATTTTTTAAATGTATTAAATTATTTAATTTGATAAACAACAAATGTTAAAATTATGCATATTAAAGTAGCATTTCTGTATTATTTATTTAAATTATATTAAGTTTATAAATGTATATCTCAAAAAATAAATATTAATTTATTTGGTGATTTTAAATATTGTATGTGTTATTAAAAATATCAATTATCTGACTTTTATAAAGTTAAGTAATTGGCTTAATACAATTTTATTATAACTACCTATAATATAATATATAAAATAATTAAAAACTAAATTATTTACATAATTAACTCGATAAAATTACCACCCATTTAGATTAAATTATAATCAAGCCAAGGTAATAATAAACATAATTAACATTACATTTGTGACTACTTATTGGTTGTGCCTATTTGTTATTTTAAATAATATAGGTATTGATTTTATGCATTTATAAATTAACTTAAAAATATCATATGACATGCTTATTTTTGAAGAAAATATTCTATACTTCTTACATCGTTAATTGTATGAACCGTATCTTTTATATCCCATAAATCCCATACACTAGACATAAAACACTATCTAATCACAGTGCCCCAGTTTATAGGATGGCGTAATTCGGTAAAAATGGTTGTTTGAAGAAGAGTACACACGATCACGTTAAAAATGTATTTCAAGGGACAATAGACAATAATAGTTTCATGGAATTTGGAGGGTTATGATCGAAAAGCATTTTGAGTTTCAAATAATATTTCTAATCTGTTGATTCAGTTTAAAATTTTAAAACTGAAAATAAAATATACGTCGAATATTTCTAGAGTCTATAATAGTATATAGGTGGGTAATGTACTTGAGTATACGAGTCACGATAACGAAACTATTCATGTTTTATTGAATTTTGTAATAACACTTGTTGTATGACTGAACTCGTCGTCGGTTTGGATTGTCATCTCTATAAATTGGACAAAAATTCGGATTACTTCAAAAAATCTACACATTTGTGTGGGCGTGGGCAAGTGACTATGAATTGTTGTATTTAGAACACATAATATAATATATACCTATATAACTAGGTTAATATTCGCTCACTCTTCACCATTTCCCAATGTATATTTAAGCTGTATAACTCGACTTCGCCCGGGAAAAAAATTAACAAATATAAAATTACTGTGATATATATGTGTATCTTGGTTTTAGCTTGGCTCAATTATTCACAGAAATATAATCGGCATCGGTGTACCCCACATTGTGAACTAATTCGACCGAGATGCAAAACTGCCTGTTGGGGTTGGATATAGCACTTTGTATCTTTGAACGTGGTTCATACTATACTCTCTAAATATTTTTGATATCTTTAAAAACAATCCCTGATATTTTTGTAAAAATAGGTCAATTAATTTTTGAGTATATAAGCAAAAACATACCATTTTTTTATATTATATATAATATATAGAAGTATCTTTTATTTCTGGAACCAATCGAAATTATAATATACACAACAAATATTCGATTTTTGTGATTTACAACGACATTCATGCGTGTGAACCATTCTTTAGCAACCACACTATACCTATGTTATTCTTTGTTATAAATATTTGATGATATAGTGATTTTTGGCTTAGCATCATCTGACTGTTTCGAAGCATCACGTAAGTCACCGAGGCGCTTACATTAGTATTGTCATTATCTCGCTAGATTAGTTTGAAACATTTTGAAATCCAAACTTTTTATGTACGGTACAATGTACATAATATGCAAGCAAATGCATTAATTAAACGTAAAGTTTTAACATGAAATGTTATTATAATTGAGTGACTTAGGTAACTTAAAAAAAACATATTGTACTCTATTACTCTTTTTATGTACCTATATGTATAAAATAACTATAGTTGTTTATATTTCATTACGTTGAAAAGATTTTCCGTCTATAGATCAGTTGTGTGATATGTTCGGTACAATAAGGTCGAATAATTTGAAAATAAAAAACAATTTGATAAAAACACGTATAATATGTATCAAGCGACGCTATCATAATAGCTCTGCAAATTAATCGAACGTAATAGTATAGTAGCAAATACAAGCTAATATGATTATAAATTTGAATATTATAATACATTATAACAAATATTACTTATAATTAACGAAACGATAACGAAATCACAAACTAGATAGGTATTGTGGGTATATGTATATAATAGTTACAGGACGATTACAATACAAAACCAAGCTTATATAGTAACTTGAACGATAAAATAAGTAAATCCTAATCATGGATATTTTTCAAGGGATTTCCCTATCATTTCACTCGCTCAGTATATCAAACAATGAAGATCATTAATTTAGAAATGGTTTTTTGGAAAACTTCTAGGTAGTATAGCTATTACATTCGTTAATGTGAATTATAAAAGCATGTGTATAGTAGGTAATAGGTATATATTATTATGTTTCTATTGTTCTGATGAAATTAAGAATCACTAAATATAAATGCATATTTACTGCATTATGTGCAATAATAATAATTAAATATAACCTACCACAATTTTACAATTTAACAGCTTTAAAGATTTTTCGAATAATATTGTTTTCCTTGACTTCCAAAATACACATGACTTTAATATGTATTTCACATTTATTTATAAGCTTATTAAAGTTATTTTATCAAAAATGATTAGTGATTACAAATGTACATACTATATGTAAATTAAATGAAAAATTATAAAATTATTTTTACTTTACCATTTTAAAATATGATCTGGATCTTGGTATTATTTATCGCCTTGTAATAGTCTAGTCGTTAAGACGTATATCGTCATTATTATAGCAAGTTCATATGGTAATGTTCAAAGACTATAATAAGTTATAACTAATTAAACTTTATGGAGAGGGATTTTTTTTGTATTTTATAGCGAGTAATAAATACAATTATATTCAGAATAATATACATGTTTTTTTACTGTAACCTAAAATTTGATTAAAATATTAAATGTATATGTGTTATAATGATTACATAAAACTATAGTGACTTAATTAGTATCCATAATGTGTATAAGTACTATAGGTATTAACTAAACGTATAATGTACATAGATGCACTGTATACCTACATAGGAGGTATGAGCAGAAAATTGATTTCCTTATTGCGTTGTTAGCTTTCATAGCAAAACCAATTGAGAGATAATTAAATTGGAATAAATTAAAAATACACATTATTAATTAATATTAACCCGTTGTCCCGTCATAAAAACACATTCCGTTTCGACGTGATTGAATAATCGTAAATGAATTACCAACTTATGAGCTATGACACTGCGATTATTATATTACATACAGAGCGTTTTTAAATGTATACCTACATTAATTTACAGTACATTTTTGTAAATTTTAAATATTTTTTTTTATTTATATGATTTATTATATTATATAACATGGGTTTTCGAAACGTATAGCAGTGTCAGTGTAGCAATTGATGACCAGTGAATTTTCACTCTCTAATATAGATACTTTATACAATATTATATACTCCTCTGGTCCCCCCTAAACGATTATAAATATTAAGTCGATCTTCTCATCCCATAACTACAAAACAATAATATTATATATATGGGCTTTAACTAGGTAGGTAAAATGTTTTTTCTCAACTTTTGAACTTGACTAGTTAATGTATTGGTACACAGTATATAATACCAATGATTTTATATTATAAAATCAATGGTAACATTAACTCATTGACTTAAATAATGAATTGTACCGACTTACCTATTACAAATTAAATTTAAAAAACAATACGTCAAGCTAAAATCATGTTTGTAAATATCTTTAACTGAAATTAAAACTGTAGGTACCTAATTTTGTAATTAATATAATTACCACTTGACGTCATTATACTTAAATGCAAATTATTATACCGTGTTTCGTTTTTCAGAGTCCGAGCCAAAAAAGCCAAAGTGCCGCAAGTACAGGTTGCAGTTTGCAGTCGATCCGTTGCCGGAGGGTGAATGGCTGACCGCGGCCGAACTGAGGCTGACGCCGTCGCGGCACCGGCCTGCCGGACATCCAGGCCGCGTGCAAGTGCTCGTACACGACATCGTGCAACCGGGCGTCCGGGGTGTGTCGAAGCCAGTGCTCCGGTTACTCGACTCACAGTACGTGGACCTGCCAGACGCGCTGACGATGGCGGGACATGACGATGAGGTGTCGGTCACGCTGGACGTGACCCCTGCGCTGGAGCGGTGGTCACAGCACGGCGGCCGGTGGTCGGCCGGCAATCACGGGCTGCTCATCGAGACGCTCACTGACGGCGCTGACGCCCGAGCACCGATACCTGACACGTTCGAGTTGCGGGCCGCCGACAGGCCTGCGCTGCTCGTGTACTCAGACGACGGCAAGAACAGCCGTCCCGTCGGCCCGCCGCGGCGGAAACGCTCGCCGGGAGCCGGCCAACAGCAACAGGGCAGGGGTGGTGGCAAGCGGCGGAAGGACGGCGGTGGCCGGGACATCTGCCAGAGGCATCCGCTCTACGTGGATTTCACCGACGTCGGTTGGGACGATTGGATCGTCGCGCCTCCCGGTTACGACGCATACTACTGCCACGGTGACTGTCCGTTTCCGGTCGCCGAACACCTCAACTCCACCAATCACGCCATCGTCCAGACGTTGGTCAACTCCATGAACCCCACCGCCGTGCCCAAAGCGTGTTGTGTACCCACTCAGTTGGCGTCCATATCTATGCTGTACCTGGACGAGGACAACAAAGTGGTGCTCAAAAACTACCAGGACATGCAAGTTCTCGGGTGCGGGTGCAGGTAGGCCTCGGCCTAGACCCATCACACACACACACACACACCCACACACATACACATACACAAACACATAGCGTCGCCCAAAGATATTATTATTATTATTATTATTATTACTAGTTATTATTATTAATATATATAGGTATATATTTACGTATATATTATTATTATTATTATTATTATTACTATTTTACTATTGTGCATTTCTCCAACGAGGTTGTTTGACCGTTTAACGAATTTTGTTTTTAATAAAAATGATGTCTATCGCGCAATTTATTGTCGTACGTGGTAGGTAGGTACTTTTAAATTATACGTTTTCGTCGACGAAATATTATATAGACAAATCGAATAACCACCAATACTGCAGATGACGGGTTCATATAAAGACTGGTAACGATCTTTATAATATTATGTGTTATACGTAAAGAAACACATCGACGGTATATCCTCTTTAGACGGGTATAATATGTTATTACGTAATATCACAGTTACATTAGGTAATATTAAGTATAGTCTTCGACCACAGACAAACATAGAACGAGATCCCCAACAAAACCGATAAACATTACTTACCTACTACCTATATCTACCTACATTTACGTAATTTCAACGTTAAAACGGCTTAAGATTTATTTTATTGGATACAATATGTTGTAAACGTAGTAATAATAATTATGTAGTATTATATTATTATGCCAACGTTATGGACGTGACGAGAATTTTTTATTTAACATATAGGTACCGTTAACTTTTCCGTAATATAATATTATTACGTTCAGTCGAAATGGCAAACAAATGTATCTTTTCTGTTATTTAGTTCTAAACGCGTATTGCCAGAAAAATAAATTAAAACACTATCGAAATTCGTTAAATTTATGATGATGTCTCTTATTATGATATAGGTATATCTTGTTCATCGAGTTTAGCAATCGATTTTTTTCGTTTTTAATGTTGTCTGAGATTGCCATATATTTTCCCCGTCCCTTCTCAATTGACCCCATCGCAACCACTATATTCGTTCACCGTAAATCAACACCCCACTTATCGAACTCAAATTTATATGATATTATAGTATTGTGTCCCATTATTTTTTTTACTTATTTATTATTTTATAGCTTTTGTACGCCAACCAGTGAATATAGTATGTTATATAATATATTATATATTGTTTTAAACATCATGCTCATATACTAGTCTTTTTATTTATAAATTACGTATTTTTCACCCCCAAAATCAAAACCGACCAAAATATTACTTTACACAGTTGTTATATTATATATTATATATTATACCTGCATTTTTGTTTGTTTATTTATTTTATTAAATTTTGACTTGCCTCAATATGTTACCATAATATTATTGTCCATGTAGATTTAGACCCGTTTTTTTATTTAATGAGTTATGAGTAAAATAGAATACAATTATTGAAGAAAAGAGAAATTCCAAAATGTCTACTTCATACTTCAAAAAGAGTATCCTATTTTTATTTAAATATATTATATTGTACATATATTTTTGTAAATAATAAATTTTTGTGTTAAATGAATCATTTGCAGTTAGTTATTTTGTAAATTTAAATGTTCCATATACCTGTATCGTCCTGTCACAATTATATTTTGTGTGTCTCGATGAACATTTTGTGTTATGCATATATTTATATGCATTATGCATAATATTAATACAATACCTATAATATTATACCAACAGAAGAATTTTTTAATTTCTATTGAAAATAGTTCAAATTAATTTTTATGTACAATGTACATGTAAATAAAAGTATTTTTAATCTTATAGTTAAGTTTATTACAGGGTGGGCCATTCAACTTACCTAATGGCCAGTTTCAAAAACTTGAAAGTCACGCTGGGTGGAACATTCTTGTGATATTTTAGATTCCGAAAAGAGTGATGAATTTATTGGTTGTACTATGATATGTATTGTGTTTTTTGTTTGTCATCACATTCATGAGTAGGTAGTGAAAAGGCTTTGATTTTAAACTTTAAGGGTAGTTTACAGGAGAAAATTGGATATAATTAGTTTTTGAGATTTGCCAGTAGGTACTTTTCAAAATAATTGAGAAAAACTGAAAAAGTTATCAGAAAAAACTTGAATATTAATATTATATTTAGTTAATGACAAAAATTAAAATTGATATTATTATTTGTTGTTTTTCAAAAACTATTATAGCTGTAGAGACTTAACATTTTCACCAAATATTTATATTAGAACCTTATAGACATAATATAATTTTAAAAATATTTTAGTTATTTAAAACTCAACCTTTTTTTTGATTTTTTGTAGGGTACTATTTTTGTTTGTGAGTAAAAGCTTTAAATTTTAATTCAAGGTCTCTCATAAGTTGTTCTTAACGAAATACATAGTTATTTAAAATTTGTTTTATAAGTGTTTAAAATTTAAATTAAACATAATTTTAAAAAATCATCACTGAAAATTGCAAATTAGTTTATTGTAAAAACGTCTAAAATTTTCAATTTTTATAGCTAATGCTTGATAATCTCATATACGGTTCTATATTATCAAAAGTTGTTCTTACAAAAACCTTAAAAATCTTTAAAATGCATAAGCACAATATTTTTTTTTTAAATTTGTATGTTAAAATGGTGACAAAATATGTATACTTGCATTGAATAGTGTAGATATTGTAAAATATATTCAATGATTTATGATTATATTTTATTTGAGTAAATAAATAACTATATTGATTAGAAATACAAAACATGATAAACGATAATTGTATGAAAATAATTATCCCAGTCGATTTTAGCAGCTGTTTTTTAGGCATAGGTATAATGTTTTATACTTATATACATTATACCTATATACTATTCGAGGCTCGAATTGTATATAATGTATGAATTATATGAAGCACATAATAATAACGTATTGGACAAACACGTATTCCTACTTATATAGTTTAAACAACTATGAACCAATATCTATATATTATAATATATTATAATGTATGCTTCGCGATTGTGACAGCTGCAGACGATACATTCGATAGGTAGTGATTTATCGGATGTCCGGCCCGTCCGGAACTGGTTTATCGGTCGTTGCCAATTTATTTAATTTACATAGGTAGGTATGGTTATGATATAAGTTTATAACTTTTAACTACCAACACGAAGTTTGAGATAATATTAATTAAAGTAAGAAATTGAAAATGGTACTTATATATGTATAATAATTGCATATATGATATCACTATAAATATATATATTATTTATACATACGAAAATAATATGTGTATAAAAAAAACATTGAACATTGAATTCAAATTCACTAAAATTCTGTAAACTATTATTTTAAAAATCTAGAATATAATACACAAATCACAAGTATGCAAAATATTTTTAGATGTGCGGGCGCGTAGGTCCCTATCTAATCTGCACAGAAAATACCCAAGATAAGGTAAATATTGATAACGTTCCTATAGGTATAATATAAGCAAAGAATATTTAATTTGTATCAAGTTAAAAAAATCAATTTAGATTATCTATACAGCATAGATAACGAACTGTAATCTTTTTCCACGCTTTAATATTTGTATTAAGACGTATTATAATTACTCTAAAATTATTATTTCCTTTGTGCAAATTATAAACTTGCAAACAATTTAACTAGTCTTTAGAATTTTAACAAGAGATGGTCTGACGACATAATATGATATGATATTATATAATTATCTTGTTATATACCGTGTAAGTCCCCTTGAATTCACGCTGATCGAAATTGTTGTTGCTTATTAAATTTAAAATCAAAACTTTTATTAAATAAAAGAGTGAAAAGTATAAAATACAAAGAGATGTTTTATAGATGTTGGCTATAATTTTATATAAATCCAAGTCCAAAGTTAGTTAAACTTGTGGTACATAAGAAGAAGAATTTACACTTAAAAAGTGTGCTAAACTACTAAAAGCGTTTTATTTTATTGAAAATGTTGAGATTGTTCTAAAAACATAATCCATAGATAACATAACCATTAGCTTGACAATGATAAATTGGAACTTGTTTGTTTTGATTCGAAAAAAACTGTTAGAAATTGACATTTTTTGGTAGTACAAAATATATGATTACCATTTTAGAACCTTTAAAAAAAATTCTAATAAGTAATGAATAATTTCTGTAAGTAAGTTAATATTATACCTATAACAAATTACAAATACCTGTAGGGAGGCTGAAGAAATGCCATAAATTATATAATCTCTCTATTATATACTTGTTAAATCTCAAAACCAATTTCTAACTCTCTATTAGAGTCTTTTATGTTGATTTTCCCACGAGAATACGCAAAACCGAAGCGTTCGAGGCCCTATAGTTCATGCACATTCTTTTAATAATATAAGTAGGTACATCATACAAAGAATAACAGTGAACCATATAGAAAAGTCATACAACAAAAAAAACGTTAAAACACAATGGATTGGATTAATGAAGTGAGTCAGTGTATAGTTGTAGTTGTATTTACATATATATATATATATATATACTGAAAAGAGGTAGGAAAAATCGTGAATTACAATACCAATATAAATAAAAATATTCTGTGGGCAAATCTACTTTGGAAGTTGCATTCAAACAACTTTAAAACATTATAACATTATAACTATTAACTATACAAAGTTTTTATAACTACATGTTCAATCAATATATGTTTTTAATTATTCATTATATATAAGTACCCAACAAATTATTTACATAAAGGTAAAATATGTCATATCTTATTATACAATATGATATTGAATTAGTTTTTAATATCTAAATATATATATTATATGGGTATCTTAGTATCTACAATAATCACTCAGCTAAACTCAATCTCTACAATGCATTAATTAATCTAATAATTTTCTATTATATTTTTTTACGCTTACCTATTATTTAAAAATTCATATTTTTTTATGAAAATCTTATGCAACTAATATGTCTATTTCTTTTTAAAAATTAAAATATTTTTATTAATTAAATCTCTTATAGTATACCTACTGGAC